ACTCAAATCTCCCTCTCGTTTCCTTCTCATCAGAGATGTAGCAGAACACAAGAAGGTGACCGATTTGCAGAAGTGAACTACCGGAAACAGGATCAACTCGTTGGAGTTAGCCGCTCGCCCGAAACCGCTAAGCCCTTGCCGGAGCACAATACTACACAAGTGATTTAATAATGCAAACCATTCTTTATTTTTGAGACGGTTGATGGTAAAAACCGCCTTATTAAATGTATAGAGCATTAAATAATACACGAACCGCTTGAAAAAAACATCAGATAAATTTCCAGAAGCTTTTGTTAAGGCAGTTAACAACAAATAGCATCAAAAAAAGATTTTTTAGTGTTACTTCATGTAAAAGCATCATTAAATAAGGATTTTTTGATGCTCTTTTTCTAAAAGAACATCATTTAATCTTTATCTTTTGATGCTATATTTTGAAAAACACATCAAATGAAAACGCTATGATTTTTTAGTGCTAATTCATGTAAAAACATTATTAAATAAGGATTTTTTGATGCTCTTTTTAATATAATAGCATCATTAAATCTTTATCTCTTTCCTAGCTTTCTAAAAACCCTCCATAGCCACAACCAAATTCCACACAAATCGCATCAGTAAAATCTAAAACCGCCCCAAATCATCTATTTCCCTCTAAATTTTCGTTTTAGCTTTCTAGTATTTTCAGCGGATTTCCCCCCAATGGCGGTCGAAAAATTCTAATCTCCCCAAACCTAAGTTCCTCTCGCCTTCAAAAAAATTCTAATCTCCGTCCGACTGGAAATTTTTTTGATTGAAATCCAACCGACCCCTCATAAATCTATGACTTCATCAACCATTAATATTCCTAAACGCAATGTTTTAAAACCCGGGTTTTTAGTTGACCCGGTATAATGACCGGTTCACAGGTAAACCGGTTCAATCGATTGAACCGCCGGGTCAATCCGGATTATGATCTTTCTCTATTTTAATATATTTTTACTTTCATGCATAATGCATAAACATATAAAACTAATAATTTGATGTCTACAAAGTTTAAACATTGAAAAACATTGAAGAAACCGTAAACTACTCGTTGTTTTGGCGGTCGATACTTGTATCCAATTATCCAAACCTTATCAAAACGGGTCAATCTGGTTTTAACCGGTTCAACATAAGCGGTTGAACCGCGGTTTAGGGAAAACCCGGCCAGTTCGATCCGGTCCGTAATTTTACAAAAAAACCGTTCTCAATTGACCCGCCTTCTACCCCGGGTCACGGTCCAACCGGTTGAACCGGCCGGATCGACCCGGGTTTTAAAACATTGCCTAAACGTTACTAGTTATCTCCATTTCGCATATGATGAAACCACTAAATCCTCTGCTTCTTCTTCATAAATGAGAATTTACTACTAAGAATTCATCGTCATCTCTTTTACTTCGACTAAACTTCTCCCTAGTGCAAAACCCTAAATATCTCCATCCTTGTAGCAGTAGATTTCAGGGTGCCAGGATTCAGTCTTAAAATGAACGCAATCAAGTATGTCCTACACCTTCTACATCAACTTCTTCCAACTATAGTATTTTTTTCCCTAAAAAAGGCTATGGAAGGTACGCAATATTGATCACATTAACTATTCAATTAAAGAACATTATTCAATTTGGTGATTTTTTTCGATTTCATCAAGTATAGTTGAAATAATCATGTTTTGTGTTGTTTTTCTTTTAATTAAATCGGGGTTTCTATGACTTTTCAAGGAGGATCGATAGATATAAGAAAAGTGATTTAGCATGAAGATTATATTAGAGGATGTGGAGCATATTTACATTTAGGAAGCACAAGTAAAGAAGGAAATGATGATGGGAAGAGAGATGCTAACAATGAAGAGAGGATGCGTTCGATTGGGAAAATTAGTGCATATCTGAGCGTGGTTTACTGTAACATCTTGCAAGAAAGAAACGTCAAGCCAAAGTGGCATATTTGACAACCGAAAACTCTATCAAATCCATGGAGTCTGCTGAGAACTCATATGAATGTGTTCCAAATGATTCAAAAAAAAGATAAAAAACTACCACCACCGTCATTACTAGTTATTGCAGGTTCAAGTGAGGTTTTAAAGAAGAAAATGGAGTGGATATGTCTTATTTGTAATGTGAGTTCATCAAGTGAGATTGATTTACAGAAGCATCTTGAGGAAAGAATACAAGGCCAAAGTAGCAATCATAAGAAAAGGAAATAACAAGTGAGATTAGCATCTTTCTTATCTATATAATGCGGTTCTATATTTTCTAATGTTGTTGACTAATAGCATCAACAAATGATTGATGATATTTTATGTTGTCATTTGTATTGTGTTTTAAAAGGCAGTTTAATTTCTAAGGCTATTCAATAACAGCATCAAAAAATAAGTCTATTTTATGAAGCTATATTTTATAAGGCGGTTTTGGACAACATCAAAAAATAAATCTACTTTATGAAGCTATTTTTATGAGACGGTTTAGGACATTTTCTAAAGCGGTTGTAGAACCGCCTCAAAAAACAACACTATTTTATAATGCTATATTTTTTGAAGCGGTTGAATAACCACATCAAGAAATAAAATAAAATAAAATAAAAAAAAATTAAAAAAAACAAAAAAAAAACAGACCGCATTAAACCTCTTCTATACTAGTGGCACAGACTAGCACGCGATTTATCTCTGTGTACTCTCTCCCAATTGCGCTATAATGAAACAACTCAAACAAGCGGTAGTGCAACCCTTTTGTTTAACCCACATAAGCCCAAAAGAAATGAAACGGACCGAAGAAGAGGAAAGAAATGGACGACGAGCAAACGGAAACGTCGCATGTGAATGAGCGCATGGGCCTGAATACGTAGTCTTCAATTTATTTTTGTAGAAACCTCAGTAAAGTAACCTTTAATTCATTTATATGGCTTTTAAAGCCCAATTTGCGATTTTGGTCCCTTGAGATTTGTTCCTTGATTGCCATACACCTCCCACTTTAACTTGATTTGATTCAACCCTTCAACTTTTATGCACTAAATGTTATTATCTTGAATAAATTCTAAAATTAATTAAATAACATTATTACAATTTAATTAATAATTAAATCCTATAAACAATTTGAATCCCGATTAAATCCTTTATACCCTAATTAAGCTAATTTCTTTTATTTATTATATATTAAGCACATTCAATCTCTCTTCGTAAACACACGTAAAGCTTAATTCTAGTAACCGAAAACTAACTTCACTAATGTAGAGAATTTGGTTCGTTACAAGTAAGAATGATTAGAAAATGAAAGAACGATGGAGCCTTGACCACGAGTAGGAATGTTATAACCATTACCGATCAGAATAGAATGCGGTTTACTTAGTGTGTTGGTGTGGGAGAGAATACTTCAGTCGTTAGTGAGATGAGAAGTGGACCCAGTGTCGATGTACTAAGAATTGTCTAGAGGACGTATCTTCATTGTATGTAAAGTTGCATCGAGTTGGGAGGGGATCATAGGTGGACCGCACTCAGATGAATAGTTAGTATGTGATCCACTTTTTTGCTGTTAAGCTCGTGATGTTGGGTCGAGAAGACCTATTTGTGTGCTTGGAGCTGCTTTTGGGTAGGGTTTAGGTGGGGAAGCCCAATGTGATGATTCATACCAAGGAAAGCTCTATCCATGAGGTATAATGGTCATTGTATCGATCCAGAAGGATTGGGAATAAAAATTTGACATTATTCACACCAAAAGCAGGGTGGAAAAAGGAGGGATTTCTGGACAAAGATGAGTTGTCAACTGTAGGCATCGTGATCTAATGAAGAGAAGTAGATCAAAGTTGAATGAGAAGGGTAGGGTACGACTGGAAAAAAGGAGTTGCAGGGAAGAAAAATAGGGTTTTATGGCTCTGATACCGTAATACAATATGAACTTCCTTGCCTTCTCATTCATTCCATACTAATAAATTTGATAAATGATTAGGGAGTTAGAGGCCAATTAAAATATCATTTGAATGGTAAATTAATATCACATATGTAAGATGATATATTGGCATTAAAATCTTACTACCTACAACAATCGTTAGTTTCTTAAAAGACAATATAATCATATGCATCTCGAATAATTTAATAGTTTGTAAGCGGTTGAGACTAGGGTTGTGCATGAGGCGGTTTGGTTTTGTTATTGATCAAAATCAAACCATAACCATTACAATCGGTTAATGTATTTCAATAACTTTTTGGTAGCATGTAATATGTTAGAAAAAGGGATGAATAGATTGTTTGGATTCTCTGAAAGTCGTGATTCACTATCAAATTGAAGTATTTCGATGGTACAGATCGAACACTCAATTGGATGAAATTTAGAGAATGAAATTTGAGAATGTATATGAAAATGTTCTTCAACATGTACCAGAATATTGACCAAAAAACAGATATATCAATCCTGTCTGAAAACTGTCAACAGACAGTTATAAACTGTCATAAAACTACCAAAATATCATTAAACGGATCTCATGGACCCCGCCAGGGGCTGCCGCCCCTGGGACCCCGCTCCCAGGGGCGCTGCCCCCGGACCCCCGTTCGTTTAGGGGCTTCGCCCCTAAATAGCAATGTACTTTAAATCTTAAAAAACTTGAACAAGTGTGCACTCTTACACCATCCTAATTTGTTCAATATTCAACAAGATCGCTTTTAATCAACAAATTTAATCCTATTAAACTTAAATAATATTTGATGATATAAAATTATCAACATAATATTGGTTTTGGTTAATGGTTTTAGTCGGTTAATAGTTAATATCGGTTAACCATAATAGTCTATTATGACATAAAAATTAAAATACTTTTCTATAAAAATTGAAAAATATAAAGTCCATTGTTATAAAAAAGTGAATGATTGTGTATATATAATTGCATTGATAAAGCATTACTTATTCTATCTAATTCCAAATAATTACCTTTAAATTTCAATTCCTAATATAACATACCATATATTTAATAGTATATTATATTAGAAAAAATTATTAATATTATTGGTTCTGTTCGGATTATAGTGATTCGGTTTTAGATGAAAACCATAACCAAATCATATTTATTCAGATAATCAAAATTAAAAACCTCACCATATCTTTTAGTAATGGTTCATTTATATCTATTTATTTTGTTATTGTTTGGTTTTTTGGTTAATATAGTCACCTCTAACATTATTCGATTGTAGGCTTATGACGCATGAAGATGGAAGACCCATACATTGCTATTTGAAATTACAACCCGTTTGAATTCGCAAAAACTAAACTTAAGAAATTAGCATACAAACTAATAAAGAGGCATAAATTTTCATCGTGTACAGTCATCCGATTAATTGCATAATGCATATCTATATTTAGTTGTATATAATGAAACTAAATAAATTTTTGTATGCTAGATATAATTAAGCCTGAAAATAACAGGGAATTGATATCAAATCAAGTGCATTTCATGTAGAATATAGGTTTAAATAACACATAAACTCACTATTTGGTTTAAGACCATAGGTTTCAAAATCAATCGCTCGTCTCTTTTTACAATAACATAAAAAAATATTAATTTGATAATAATCGTTCCAGATTTGGAAATGATAATTTACAATTAGCTTATTCAAACGAAGATAAGAAATTTGAAATGTGTTTCCACAAAAATAAAAGTTTTAAAGGTTAAATCAAAAGTCAAAATAAAATGGGTTTGCATAAACTCTCACCATTGGATTAACCAAATCAATATTTCCAGAAAGTAATAATTCATATTCTTCATATAAACTTCAAAAAATCAACGCCGAACCTTGCTATCTGTTTCCATAAAGGAACAATGTCTGGCTTTATTTGTATTTATGCCAACAAGTTATATAATTAACGTGAAAAGAATGCTAAGAAACTAAGAACTATTAAGACAACATTTGATCTACATATTTTAATCAAAGAACTTAATAAAAAAAATTTACATTTTTTATGAATAAATGAATATATTTCGTAAAATCTAAGTAATAAATGATTCCTAGTTCTTAAATTCATTTAATTAATAGCCATTCATATTGAGTAGAAATGTACGATATGGAAAATATGCATTTCTTAGTACATTTTTAAGAAAAATAAGTATGGAAAACAAAAGTTTGTGTTTAACATATGTTGAAACTCCAACCTTATTAAAATCAAACAGTTTACATATCTTTCTTTCGTTAAAAAAATGTCCAAATCATGTTGTAATCAAGTTCATAATTTCTAGCTGTTCTTAATGGAATTTTTGTTATCTGATTCAATTCTCCAAACACAATTTTTGGTCATATTTACCTGTTCTTGATAATGTTAATACAAAAACAGAAAACAAAAAACATTGTAAAACGATTCCCAAAGTGTTGCTAAATTTTACCTTCAATGCAAAAGATCATAGTGTCCGTAATCATGATAAAGAACACTAATTGGATTTTCCTTCCCATACTCTTGTCCATAATCCGCTATTACTTTTACAGACTTAGAGTTTTTATCTATCATATAAACTCTGATAGGCACCCTGTAAATAATGGATACAATATTATAAACTTAATACAAAATTACAAAACATATATAATTGGGGGTTTATCTTATGTTTGACCTGCCACAAATAAAAAGTACTTTATAAAAAATATATATTCTTACGTTAGCATTTCAACGAATTTATTTAGCTTCTTAAAAATTCTGTCAAATATACCTAATTAATTATAAAAAAACCCAGTGTTTTTATGTTATTTTACCTATTTCAGTTAGCTTAATTAGCTTTTTTTTATGTATCAACCAGTGTTGCAAAACTCGGCCGATTACTCGGAATCGGCCCTCCACCGAGACGAGTAATGTCAACTCGGCTAAAAAACTCAGATTTAGTCAAAATCGGTTAAACTCGGACCTACTCAATCTTACTCGGGTCTACTCGGCCAACTCGGTCAAAATCGATCAAACTCGTTCAAAGGGTCAAAATTGTCATAAAAAGAGAAAAAAAATCAAGAATTTCAAGATTAATATGTGTAATGCACTTAATTATTTATTATTTAACACAAACATAAGATTATTACTACATATATATATATATATATATATATATATATATCTTAAATTTTCAGTAATTATCCACCTAGTGAGACAATTATGTGTATTTTAGTTTTTATATATTCACATGTATCTAATTTTGGTTATATATTTCAATCAAATTATAATTTTAACTTTTGATTTTGACATATATAATTTTCCAAAAAATATTTCTACATGAATTACCGACTCCAAGTACTACCGAGTACTCGCTACTCCCCAGTCGGCCGACCAGGTACTGAGTAGCGAGTTCTACAACCTTGGTATCAACTAGCTTTTTATTTATCGGTTAACCTTTTAGCTATGATATAGATTTTGAAATAGTCTACCACTAACTAGGCATGCATTAAGGTTTTGACTTTCGACAAAATAAAATAGAGACATACCGAAGGACATGAGAAGACATAAATAGTTCCGGTTCACCTCCCCACACATGTGACCGTTTCATATGTGAGATATAAGTCTCAAAATCACCTTCAAGAAACCTGAAAATCCATGTTAGTGTATTTATTAGAAATTTCCCAAAAAAATTGCAACATTTGAATTGATTTCTCAAAATCTCATCCAACATTATAATCATTTAAAAAAAAAGCATAAAACCATGTCCATGATTCATCTATTTTGTCATACCTCGAATTTTATTTATTTATATTTTTTTTGGATATTAGAAGCTACTGTTGAATCAAATTTACACTTGTTTTAGGATTGAAGATTGTGCTTCAGTCTTACCATTCAGTTTCGGACCTTCTCTTGATCAACTCCTTCACAACCTATCAAAAATAACAATACTCCTTAATCCTTATGCTTTAGATCAAAAGGTAAAGTAACAATTTTTAGAATCGTATAACATCAATTTCAATCCCAACACTAACTTTAGTTTTTTTAAATTCTTGAAAATAATTAGATTTGAGATTCGAAAAGTTCTAAGTCATAATATAACGTTAATTGTTTGATTGAAGAAAATAAATACTAAATATCAGTTGTAGTTATTCAATACCTTGGATCTGAGATCATCAGCAAGTTCCTTCGCAGCATTTTCCTTTGGAATTGGCGTTCCTGCTCTCAAACATGCACCATGAACAACAGAGCGAAACAAGCATCTTCCGTCTCCAGGTATACCTGTACATAAAACGGTTTTCACAGCAATAATTATTCAAATATCTTTTTTTTGATTGGAGAATTTACAAATCTGTTTAACGTAATATATAATTGCACACACATGCAAAAAATCAGATAGAACATCACATACTTATCAGACGAAAATCGCTACTGAAAGGAGGATTTCTCAGTTTGGACATTGATTTAAGAAATTCAAACGCTATTAATTAGTATGATTGACGAATTTTTAAATGAAATGGAGAATTTTACCTGCGCCTTGCTGGGATGAAGAATCTGTTTTCGAATGTCAAAAAGTGGAGGGATCTGAGAATCAAATTCCATCTGATCGCTTTTTCTCATTGGTGATTGGTGAATCTTATGTTGTATGGTTTATATTTGTTACGTGTGTGAATTGTAAGACATTACCAAAAAGTATATTTTAGGGTCAATATCGTTTTAGCCCAATAAAATCAACGTATTGATTTAAAACATTATTATTATTATTATTATTATTATTATTATTATTATTATTATTATTATTATTGTTATTATTATTATTTTAAGTAGAAGTCCTTAAACTTTGCATTTACGTGTTAAAAACATCATTATAAAATAAAGAGTAAATTATAGTTTTGATCATATGGTTTGATTAAAATCGTATTTTTTTGTCAAACATTCCAAAATTTATAAAAATACATGCTTATAATTAAAAAAGTTACATTGTATATCCAAGGTCCTTTTAAAAACACCATTTTACTCTCTCTCTCTCTCTCTCTCTCTCTCTCTCTCTCTCTCTCTATATATATATATATATATATATATATATATATATATATATATATATATATATATATATATATATATATATATATATATATATATATATATAAATGAAGGTTTTTTGCCACATGTGCTCTTTTCCTTCATTTTGACACATGATATTTTCTAAAATTTTTAAATTTTCTATTTTCCACTTATCATTTCATTGTATTTTTTATTTGATTAAATTAAAATTCCAAGTTTAATATGTAAGATAATATATATGTAAGGTATTTATTAGAAATAGTTTTTATATGTAATGTATTCAATACATTAAAGTCTCATTAATTTTAATAATTCAATTTTTTTTTTCATATTTATTATAAATTCAAAATTGTCAAATTGTTAAATTTTTTTTTTAAATAAACTCATGTAATACATGAGTCTCAGACCTAGTATATATATATATATATATATATATATATATATATATATATATATATATATATATATATATATATATATATATATATAATTAGGTTATAATGTGGATGAAATCTATTGTGTGATCGTTAGGACAATTCTGTACAATATATGAAAATAATGAATGGTTATGATGTAGAGGTCTATGATATTACAATGGGGTAATAAGTACTTTATAATTTCTCAAATTTCATTGAAAGGGTAGTTTAGTCATTTGAACGATATTTAAAAAAAATGAAAATTTTGGATTTTAAGGAATTATTAATTCTCCAAATTTTAAAAATATGATTTTTTTTTTAAATTAATTTAGCTTCAATTCTAATGTAATTTTTAATTATAATCAATTTTACCCTGTCAAAAATGATATCACTAAAAATATAATTACATTTAGTGGCATATATTATTTTGTACAACTATATTATATTTTTAGGGATAAATATTTTTTGTGCTACTATATCTATTGTAAATTCTAATTTTAAGTTGCCGCTTTGATTCCCTCCAAAATCAAAAACATTAAATTTGGTATTTTTTTCACTTTATCAAACTTATGTTTTGTTTGTTTACCTCTTAATTAAAAAATTAAGAAGTAATCTCTTAAAAATTCAAATATAACTTGTTTGACAACCTCTTATTTTTTTCCTCTTAATCTTATAAAAGCCTCTTAATATTTCAGATACGGAGGAGAGTCTGAAAAGAAATAAGGGACGCTTCTTCCTTTTTTGCCCATGGCTCTGCTCTTCTACTCTTTCTCATGATTTCCCTCATTCCCCTCTCCAACAAAACGCCGACATCACGATTTCCCTCCCTCCCCTCTCCAACAAAACGCCAACATCATTCTCTATCCCCTTTTCCCTAATATGCTTCGTTTCCTGTGAGACCCTCAGTGAAACACCTTGTATGAGACCCTCCTCCGACATCCACCCTCTGCTATAACTAGCGACGACTCTGCAGACCTTCTCTCTTCCACTGTTGGTCGAACCTGCAACCCTCCACCATCATCGGAGCCTCCGTCTCCGCCATCGCGTCCGCCAGCCCCGCCACCAACGTCGACATCCACTTCCATGAAATTTCATCGAGATTTCCCCTAAAAATCATGAAAAGTTGGTTCTTGCCATGAATTGGGTTTCAACAGCTCATTCTAAATCGGTTTCATCTATGACTCCTTCCATTTTACAGCGTAATAATCTTTCAAATTTTGATCTCTATCATTGTTTGTTTGATCATACCATGAAATTGGCTCTTAGATTTGTTTATATAACTGTTGTTGTGATCATTATTGGTGGTGTGATTTATGAATTTTGAAATGTATGATGCACAGGAAACACTCCTGCACTTGTTACTTTGCAATTATCTTAATTACAATTTGTATGACCATGCAGAGAAGCTAAGATCAAAGGCACTAACATATTTTGAAGCTCATTCAAATCAGCAGCTGTTGAAGTTAAGTTTTTACTGTTTATTGAATCATTAGTTCTTATGATTTTTTTACTGTTATTTGGCTATTGTATGATATTTATCTTTCCATGAATGAAAGAATATGATATTTATGTTTCTATGGGTTGGAAGAACCGAAGAAGTGAATTTGAAAGAATTTAGGTTTAATTTGGTTGTATGATGTTTATGTTTCCATGGATTGAAAGAAAGTGAATTTGAAAGAATTTATGTTTAATTTGGTTGTATGATGTTTATGTTTATATGGATTGAAAGAAGTGAATTTGGAAGAATTTATATTTAATTTGGTTATTTATGATCATTTGTAATTTTTATCAATTATTCATTTATAATTTAATACAACACAATACTATAGAATGATAAAATGATCATTTTTATCATTCAAGTTACGATTCAGAGGTTCCAACCAAACAGAATATTAAAAATTCAGATCTTAAAAATTCAAACCGTCTTAAAAATTCAGACTTCTTAAAAATTCAAATCGGTTTCTGACAAACATAAAATTCTACACTAAGTTAGAGTTGCCGCTCCTAATTCCCCCAGGATAAAAGCATTAGTATTTTTTCCCCAATCGATGCCAAAGCAAGAAATCTACTTCTCACTTTCTAATTCTAACCTCCAGTCCTCCAATCCTCCTTGAGGACCACCGTTCCACAGGCAACGCATCCCCGGATCGGACTTGTAACCATCTCAGAGCGGCGATGTCATTTCTTCATGCTTGATGATGTCCTATTTGATTCTCCAACACCACCAATTTCTACTTTCTTAAAAGCTTACACCAGCATTACTATCTAATGAACCCTAGAAAAATGGGGAATCACGAAATTCATGTTGGATAAAGGATTCCTTTCAATGCCAACAAGCTTAGATTTAACTGATTTCATTTTTCTTTGAAAACATTAACTATAGACTAGTCAGATATGTTTGATTTTGAAACAATACAATCGATTTATTAGTTTTTATTTTTATTTTTTTTGTTCACTTAATATTAATATAAGATTCAAATTTGTAATTGTAGGTAATTTGGGGTTTTTCGTTGCAGGAATTTTGGGTAGGCAAAATCCATGGTGTGTGTTTTTGTGGATTTCGGTCAATTCATTAATGACCACCAAAGACCACAAACACTTGAATTATATTCCATAGATGAATCATGGTGAATATGCTTTAATAACTTATATTTTATTTTATGCTTAAATTTTTTACTTTTCAAGGTGATATTTATTTGATTTTTGGTTCGTTATAAATTTATCTCAGGAACTAATGAAGCTATGTTCGTTGATCTTTCCAAAATTAATACCTCCTTAACAAAAGTAAATCTAACAATGGTGCTCCTCATTTATGGATGATCACTTTCTGGGCAAGTTTTGGAACCCATGACATTGCTAAGTAGGTTATCTTAAACATAACCAATTTAAAATTTATCTATCTTAGCATTTTTTTTAATTGGATTTTGTCCATGCTTGTGATATGTTTTTTGTGTGTTAATAGAACAGGCACACCGGGTGTTTGATATATTGTCCGAGAGAATCGATTGAGTAGGTGATATTTCAACAAAATCACTAGAAAAAAACATGGGTGTAGTCTCAAAGAATGTACAATTATACATTTCAAAACATGGGTGATATATCAACATGACCACTAGAAAATGAAACATCTACTACAATCTTGATACTTAAAGTTTTCTTAATTTCCACTAATTGGCATGAGTCTTACTGATGCACCTTTACTGATTTCACATTTTCAGTAAGTTATATAGCTGCAACAGTTTTTGGAAGTTGCTGGATATCGTGATGTCCATGTCCAAACACTAGGGTGTTTATCAGGTTTCATGGATGGTGGAAGGGATAACCGACATATGCAAATTCACCATGTTTTAATTATCTTTGTTATTACATAGTCCAATTATAATAATTATGATCATTAAATATTACAATATAAAGTGCTAAAAAATAAGTATAAAACAAATAAGTGGATGATATGAAGTACTCTGTTTAGTTAGTTTAATTATCACCCAAATAGGTCACACATTAATGTCAAAAAATGACTAAAAATCAAAATAAGTATCTATTCTCTTAGAGATTTAACATCAATAATGTTTATGTCTAATAGTATTAGTCATAGGATCTGATGTGTTTATCAACTAGCTGTAAAAAATATAAGACATTTGTTATGATTTGATAATTAAATGTTCGTTTTAAATATGAAACAAGTTGTTATGTTTTGTTTTAATGCAGACGCCTACTTAAGCATCATAAACGATGTCATGGAGGGTCCCAGAGTTATAGACATGCTTTCAGAGGAATTATCTGCATTCGAGTTTCTTTTTACCTCAACACATATTTAGATGGATAGTTTTTATTTTTTGAGTGTTAGTAGCACCATTTAGACTTATTAAATTTTAATGATATTGTATATTAAATATTAAGACTATTGATGTTAGACAAGTTAAATTTTAATCTAAGAAATGATATTGTGTTTTTAAAGAATCAAAGCTAATTTTTCAATATACATTTTTTGATAAAAAAAAAAGTTATGCTACCAAAAATAGGAAAATGAAATTTTATATCTAATAAATAGTGACATCAAAAAAAGTGTAACTAAAGTCCAAAAATGTTTTAGTGGCATAACAAAAAGTGTCACTAAAAGTCAAAAAGGTTGCAGCGACACAACCAAAAAGTATCTTTAGTGGGAGCGTTTTTCGTGGCACATTTT